GAATCACTACATTATATTTTCCAGCAACGAGAGGATAAAATCGCTGTTTTTGAAGTAAACTGACTCTAAAAAGAGAAACGCACAGACGCGCATACACGCAACTTTCATCTCTCTCTCTCTCTCTAATTGGCAATATTTGAGAAAAGGGTTTAGTGATTTCTAATTATTGGGGGTTAGCCCCCCTCAATGTCTATGGTGGTTATCGCCCTGCCCTGATCAGACATGAAAATATGTTGTGGCACTATCGTGCAGTCTATAATGATATGACGTTAGTTAGCAAATATTAGCGATTTTTTGCAAACATTTCTTTGAGTAACATGACCGTAAATATGAACTCACGATTGAATGTAACATAAAACAAATGATTACTTTTCGTTAAAATCTTTATTAATGCCAAAAAATGCTTACATTTGTGTCTTGTTGTTCGCTCGGGCAGCCATGTTGCCGCTGAAGCCGGTTTACGCTGAGATAATTCATACCCCTTCGTTTGAAGTGTGGTCCCGAAAAATCTTCATTTGAAGGGCTATCTGGCCCTTCCTCTTCCCCCTACCCCTCCAACCAAAAGAGAATCGAGACACCCCTACCCTTCACGTGAACGCGCAAAACGGAGGGGTAGGGGAAAGGGGAAGGGCTAAGGGGTAGAATTGGGATTGGGCCATAGTCACGCAATGCTGATGTTGTTTTAACATTAACAGTTTGAGAATAAAGTATAACAACAATAATAATTTGCACGGTTTGATGTGATATGAGCTAATTTAGATTAAATTACCATTGGTAGCGCGATTTATTGTAATGCTTTTTTCCTCATCAGAACAAACGTGGCAGACTTGTTACTTACTTGTTCAGATAACAATATCCGGTGAAAATGCTTATTTGAGTCATATATTCCAAGACGTAGGCTAGAATCTGTGAGTGCAAAGTACAATATCCACACCGGTGCGGTGACTGACTGCCACACATACTCCTCAAAACATTAGATTCATCCGCGCTGGAGCCGTGCCGGAGCACAACCCACGCAAGAAAGATAATTCCGCACACAGCTGCAATTGCAGGTTTTCAAACAGAGATGGCCACAAAGAGGCAAAACTTACGGACTGCAGCTTTAAGAGTGTCGAGTTCTTGAAACTTTTGAAATCACACAGTGAACTACGGTTAATTAAATAAATCAATAGTCCCAGTTTCTGTTAATTAAAAAAATTGCACAACAAACAGCTTTGTCATAATTATGGTAGAAATATTGAATATACAGGTGCATCTCAATAAATTAGAATGTCGTGGAAAAGTTCATTTATTTCAGTAATTCAACTCAAATTGTGAAACTCGTGTATTAAATAAATTCAATGCACACAGACTGAAGTAGTTTAAGTCTTTGGTTCTTTTAATTGTGATGATTTTGGCTCACATTTAACAAAAACCCACCAACTCACTATCTCAACAAATTAGAATACTCCATAAGACCAATAAAAAAAAACATTTTTAATGAATTGTTGGCCTTCTGGAAAGTATGTTAATTTACTGTACATGTACTCAATACTTGGTAGGAGCTCCTTTTGCTTTAATTACTGCCCCAATTCGGCGTGGCATGGAGGTGATCAGTTTGTGGCACTGCTGAGGTGGTATGATTTGTTGAGATAGTGAATTGGTGGGTTTTTGTTAAATGTGAGCCAAAATCATCACAATTAAAAGAACCAAAGACTTAAACTACTTCAGTCTGTGTGCATTGAATTTATTTAATACACGAGGTTCACAATTTGAGTTGAATTACTGAAATAAATGAACTTTTCCACGACATTCAAATTTATTGAGATGCACCTGTATATGATATAATATTGGGGTTTTCGATGATTGTGTTGGACAAAGTGGAGCCCTTTGTGTCAAAAAAGATTGACTGCTCTGAATATTTTATTGGATAAAATTGTATTCTGTTTTCTGTTTAAAAGTGTGTGTGTGTGTGTGTGTGTGTATAGGTGCTTCTCAATAAATTAGAATGTCGTGGAAAAGTTCATTTATTTCAGTAATTCAACTCAAATTGTGAAACTCGTGTATTAAATAAATTCAATGCACACAGACTGAAGTAGTTTAAGTCTTTGGTTCTTTTAATTGTGATGATTTTGGCTCACATTTAACAAAAACCCACCAATTCACTATCTCAACAAATTAGAATACTTCATAAGACCAATAAAAAAAAACATTTTTAGTGAATCGTTGGCCTTCTGGAAAGTATGTTCATATACTGTACATGTACTCAATACTTGGTAAGGGCTCCTTTTGCTTTAATTACTGCCCCAATTCGGCGTGGCATGGAGGTGATCAGTTTGTGGCACTGCTGAGGTGGTATGGAAGCCCAGGTTTCTTTGACAGTGGCCTTCAGCTCATCTGCATTTTTTGGTCTCTTGTTTATCATTTTTCTCTTGACAATACCCCATACACACACACACACACACACACTACATTAATCAAAAAATCTCTTTGGTTTCTCTTTTGGTTCTTTGTTGTTTACGTCGTAAGCAAGAGGAAAACTCTGAAGTTGTTTCAGCAGGACACTTTCAAGATGATGGTTGATACAAAATACAGAAGCAATCAAAAGTAAGTTAAAATTTGTTTAGTCAAGTTCAGAAAATGCTGTTTTGCAAGGAAGATGCTGGACATGAATAATTATGATGCAGATCAACACAAATCCTTTTTTAATTCTCCGGAGTCAATGCGGAAGACGACTCAAAGCTGATGCGTTTACCCAGCTGTTCTGACTAATGAAGTGCAGCGGTGAACAGCGTGTCACTCTCATGTCCGTTTGATGTCGGCACGTCCTTCCTTTGTACAGAGGGAACAACAGCGGGGGCCTCGATCACAGCCAAACCCTGTTTAATCTAAATTAAAACTCACTAATCTTGTTATTATGCTGACCCCTTTGCGAGACACACTTCCACAAGGCCCCCTCATCCCTGTCACCCAAACATTTTCATCCGACCGAGACAAAAGTATATGGCGGGGAATTAGATGACAGTGTGGCATTCTGAAGTGGGAACATTGATTTCAACAGGCTTGTTTTGATCACGAAGGCTTTTGAGTGATTAGGGGTTTCACTTTTTGTCCCTTTTGATTGTTCGTAGTAAGTTGCATGATAAAACATCTTGGGTCTGTTCGAAAATGAGGGTGAGTTTCACTGTCAATGCTGATTTGGGATCAGTTTGGGTCACATTTCTCAAGGTTAGGATTTGGGAATGGAATAAGCTGTGTATGGAGCCATGAGGATGAACGTGTGACCTCCTCCTAATCCTGCGATGTGTCCTGCATAAGACTTTTCAGAGGATAGGCCAGACCCTGTACTGGAGATGGAGAAAGTTCCATTTCCATATGCATGAGATGAGCCGTTGTTATTTTAATGAAGGGCATCCTCCCTCGAGCAAATAAAAAAGACTGAACTGATGCTAGACATGCCTCTGTGATCAGCTTTAATGGTCTATCTTTGTAAAGAGATGTGGCAGAAAGAAACCCATTAGGGTGATGCCTGTGTGTGTCTCAGGAAGTCTCATTTGAATCATTGCTGTGATGATCCTAGACAAACGAAAAGTGAAAAACAAACTCCCACATTTATAATGTTTCTGCAAATGTCCTTTTAAATGCATTTTTTGTTTTATTTCTCCCGCTGTCTTTCTTGAGGAATGAACCTGGAGCATTTGTCACAAACATCCCCTGCTCAGAGAAAGGTTTGTCTATTGTCTGATGTGCACAGGCATCCAATTCTTTTGCTGTACATTTTTGTATTTATATAGTTACCTTCGATCATGTGAAGTAATTGCTACATTTGTAATGAAATTTGTTAGAAGGTTGTTAGGTAGGTCCGAAAATATATAATATAATATAATATAATATAAAAATATGCTTTGGCAGATTTATGAGCTTTTTAACTAGTGAGGACTGCTTAAAATGTCCTTTGTTGTTGTTGTTGTTGTTGTTATTATTATTATTATTATTATTATTATTATTATTATTATTATTATTATTATTATTATTATTATTATTATTATTATTATTATCATCATCATTATTATAACAATGTTTCACATTTTTCATAATTTTAGCCACCACAAGTGTCGTGAAACCAGTATATGTACTCAAAAACAAACAAATCACAATAATCTTTATCATTAAAAGTTCTATTCATTAAACAAGTAAACTTTCATAAAGAATATGCATCTCATTAATGATTAATGTGTTCTGAGGTTAATGGAAAGCTTTAGTTGAGTTATGATACGATGTGCATGTGATGTTCTTTACAATATGCTTTTGTGTCAGTTCAGAGTGACTAACTATAGCACTGGTCATGTTCATAACACTGGATTAATCCCTATGCTGTATAGAGGCCTGTAGTCATGAAGAGACATCTACTCAGTCCCTTAACACATAAATACTAGTGTAATTGATTCTACAAGTTCCTGCTGGGTTTCTGAGCTCTTAGGAGAGTTTCTCCTCAGTAATCATTTTTCTCAAAGTCAAGAGTGAAAAGATGGGATGTCGTCTCCTTTTGTATTTGTATTATAATAACCTACCTAATGATTATGCGGCATATGCGGCAGTATGAATCATAAGTAATGAAAGAACAGGGACCTTGTAGAGATGAGAAATGCATAAAATGAATAAAATGAAAAAACAAGACTGAAGAAGAAGTAGAAGAGGCATCCAAAAGCCTAAGAAAGATGGAGAAAAAAAGGGACCATGGACAAACCTCTTGGACGTCTTTTATTTATATTGGTTTTGAATTGCGTTTATGTTGACTTTGTTGTACATCTATCTATATTAGTAAAACTTTGTCGACAAAGGTCTATGTCTGAAAGTTGTTGGTTTCTATTGTAAATCTGAGTGAATTTTGTCAGCAAAAGGTCATATTGAGTTGTAGTTGCTGATGACTCTCTTAACCTGTTCAAAGACGGAAAGATGGAAACTATTGATTATTTAATTTAGCTCTCAAAATAACATTCTCTCTGTAGGTCTTGAAACATTTCAGATAAAGGTCACTATTTTATAAATGGGACAATCAAAAATAGACTTTCAAGGTTAGATTTTTTTTTTTTACTTAAAAAGTATACAAGACTAATTTGGGAAGAAGAATATAATGTCATACGCCTACCTGTGTTGAGTATAGTATGAGAGTCTAATTTGTCATGTATGTGTGTGTGTGTGCGTGCATGTATGTTTTGATTCTTGAGTTACCAAATATTAATGAAAAGATTGATAAACCTGAAATCAGCTACTGAACATGATGGAAAATGGCTTATCAAACAATATCTTAAAAATTTTAAAATGCAAAAAGATTTCTGTGAGTGTGAGATTTAGGGGTAAGTGATGCAAAATTTCATTAGCTCAGTATAAAAACAATAGAAGTCAATAGAAAGCCCCCACGATAGAAAACCAAAGTCTCTCTCTCTCTCTCTCTCTCTCTCTCTCTCTCTGTGTGTGTGTGTGTTTATGAGAAGCAGTGAAAGAATGAGTGCCACCTTTGACTTGCTCCTCATCCAGCCTCAGATCACTCACTGTCAAGATTTTCAAATTCAATTTATCTATAGATATTTCAGAAACTCATTTGGAGATGATTTTCTCCCTCTCCACACCCGCTGGCTCCGGCACCAGTCATATACACCTCTCCCGTAGGCGGCCGTAAGCCCGATCCTGAGCTGTACTATTTGATTTAATTTGAAGGGCCATCTGTAATCCCCCCCGGTACTCACTGAATCCCTGGGTCCGTCTGCTCTGCTGTGCTGCGAGTGTTTGCCCGTTATTGTGCTTGCTGCAGTGCAGGGCTTCTTTGTCATTTAGAGCTCACAATGCTGAAAAACCAGCAGCACTCGGAGCAAGTTTGAAAGAGTTTTCAGCTGCTGTTTATCTGCAGTGGCAATATGCTAGAAACATACTAAAAAATGCTAGCAACACTTAGCTAAGTGCTAAAGCATGCTATTAATGCAGTGAAAGAGGAAGTTTCTGTAACTCAGGCATGCAGTGTCCAATCTGCCCCAAATTTAACAATTTTGATAAGAGTCCTGTCCTGAACACATCTACGTGCCCGTTTTCGGTTATAGTCATAGCGCCACCTGCTGGCAACAGGAAGTGACATGCTTAACACTGTTATGGAGTCCAAGTAACATTTAAAAATTCATCAGCAACTGTTACATAGGCTGGCAATATGCTAGAAACATACTAAAAAATGCTAGCAACACTTAGCTAAGTGCTAAAGCATGCTATTAATGCAGTGAAAGAGGAAGTTTCTGTAACTCAGGCATGCAGTGTCCAATCTGCCCCAAATTTAACAATTTTGATAAGAGTCCTGTCCTGAACACATCTACGTGCCCGTTTTCGGTTATAGTCATAGCGCCACCTGCTGGCAACAGGAAGTGACATGTTTAACACAGTTATGGACTCCTAGCAACATAATAAAAAGCGTCAGGAAGTGTTACATAGGCTGGCAACATGCTATTAACATGAAAAAACATGCTAGCAACACGTAGCTAAGTGTTAAAGCATGCTATTAATGCAGTGAAAGAGGAAGTTTCTGTAACTCAGGCATGCAGTGTCCAATCTGCCCGAAACTTAACTTGTTTGATGACTGTCCTGGCCTGAACACATCTACATGCAAAGATTCAGTTTTAGTCATAGCGCCACCTAATGGCAACAGGAAGTGACATGTTTAACACAGTTATGGACTCCTAGCAACATAATAAAAAGCGTCAGGAAGTGTTACATAGGCTGGCAACATGCTATTAACATGAAAAAACATGCTAGCAACACGTAGCTAAGTGTTAAAGCATGCTATTAATGCAGTGAAAGAGGAAGTTTCTGTAACTCAGGCATGCAGTGTCCAATCTGCCCCAAACTTCAGACGTTTGATAAGAGTCCTGCCCTGAACACATCTACTTGCCCGAATTCAGTTATAGACATAGCGCCACCTGCTGGCAACAGGAAGTGACATGTTTAACACAGTTATGGACTCCTAGCAACATAATAAAAAGCGTCAGGAAGTGTTACATAGGCTGGCAACATGCTATTAACATGAAAAAACATGCTAGCAACACGTAGCTAAGTGTTAAAGCATGCTATTAATGCAGTGAAAGAGGAAGTTACTGTAACTCAGGCATGCAGTGTCCAATCTGCCCCAAACTTCAGACGTTTGATAAGAGTCCTGCCCTGAACACATCTACTTGCCCGAATTCGGTTATAGTCATAGCGCCACCTGCTGGCAACAGGAAGTGACATGTTTAACACAGTTATGGACTCCTAGCAACATAATAAAAAGCGTCAGGAAGTGTTACATAGGCTGGCAACATGCTATTAACATGAAAAAACATGCTAGCAACACGTAGCTAAGTGTTAAAGCATGCTATTAATGCAGTGAAACAGGAAGTTTACATAACTCAGGCATGCAGTGTCCAATCTGCCCGAAACTTAACTTGTTTGATGACTGTCCTGGCCTGAACACATCTACATGCAAAGATTCAGTTTTAGTCATAGCGCCACCTAATGGCAACAGGAAGTGACATGTTTAACACTGTGCTGCACAATTAGCTACACAGTAAAATATGCCATTGTGTGCTAAACATAATAGAAATGTGCTCAAACATGCTAGCAACACTTAGCTAAGTGCTAAAGCATGCTATTAACACCATCAAACAGGAAGTTGTTGTAACTCATGCATACAATGTCCAATCTGCCTCAAACTTCACATGTTTGATAGGTGTTAAGTCCTGAACAAATACCCATGCACAAATTCAGTTATACTAATAGCGCCACCTGCTGGCAACAGGAAGTGACACGTGTAACACTGTGATGCACTATTAGCAACACAGTAAAAATATGGCTTTGTGTGCTAAACATGCTAGAAATATGCTCAAACATGCTAGCAAGACTTACTAAGTGCTAAAGCATGGAATTAATACCATGAAAGAGGAAATTGTTGTAACTCATGCCCACAATGCTCAATCTGGCGCAAACTTCACACGTTTTATGAGAGTCCTGGCCTGAACACATCTAAAAGCCAATATTCAGTTATAATTATAGCGCCGCCTGCTGGCAAAAGGAAATTACTTGTTTCACAGTAACTTAAACATGCAATGTCTGATCTGCCCTAAACTTCCAATGTTTGATAAGAGTCCTGGCCTGAAAACATGTACATGCCAATATTCAGTTATAATCATAGCGCCACCTACTGGCAACAGGAAATTACTTGTTTTACACTATCTTAAACATACAATGTCCGATCTGCCCCAAACTTCACGTTTGATAAAGAGTCCTGGCCAGAACACATCTTAAAGCCAATATTCAAAAATAATCATAGCGCCACCTGCTGGCAACTGGAATTGACTTTGTTTACGCTAACTTAAACATGCAATGTCCAATCTTCACCAAACATCACATGTTTAGTAACAATACTGGCCAGAGGACATCTACACATCAATATTCAGTAATAATTATAGCGCCACCTGCTGGCAACAGGAAATTACTTTGTTTGCACTAACTCAAACATACCATGTTCTATCTGCACCAGACTTCACATGTTTGATAAAAGTCTTGGCCTGAAGACATCTATATGCCAACGTCCAGTTATAATCATAGCGCCACCAGCTGGCAGCAGGAAGTTTGGCGCATATAAATGACTTTGACATATTCCTCTTATATTTACCACTTTAAATGCATATTGCCCACTCTTTGCTCTTTTCCAAAAGCCACCGGGTGGCAGTGTGCTTGGTGGCGAGGGCCCTTTCATCGCTGCTTGCAGCTTTAATTATTATTATTATCATCATCATTATTATAACAATGTTTCACATTTTTCATAATTTTAGCCACCACAAGTGTCGTGAAACCAGTATATGTACTCAAAAACAAACAAATCACAATAATCTTTATCATTAAAAGTTCTATTCATTAAACAAGTAAACTTTCATAAAGAATATGCATCTCATTAATGATTAATGTGTTCTGAGGTTAATGGAAAGCTTTAGTTGAGTTATGATACGATGTGCATGTGATGTTCTTTACAATATGCTTTTGTGTCAGTTCAGAGTGACTAACTATAGCACTGGTCATGTTCATAACACTGGATTAATCCCTATGCTGTATAGAGGCCTGTAGTCATGAAGAGACATCTACTCAGTCCCTTAACACATAAATACTAGTGTAATTGATTCTACAAGTTCCTGCTGGGTTTCTGAGCTCTTAGGAGTGTTTCTCCTCAGTAATCATTTTTCTCAAAGTCAAGAGTGAAAAGATGGGATGTCGTCTCCTTTTGTATTTGTATTATAATAACCTACCTAATGATTATGCGGCAGCAAAAGTGATATGAATCATAAGTAATGAAAGAACAGGGACCTTGTAGAGATGAGAAATGCATAAAATGAAATTATTATTCAAACAAGACTGAAGAAGAAGTAGAAGAGGCATCCAAAAGCCTAAGAAAGATGGAGAAAAAAAGGGACCATGGACAAACCTCTTGGACGTCTTTTATTTATATTGGTTTTGAATTGCGTTTATGTTGACTTTGTTGTACATCTATCTATATTAGTAAAACTTTGTCGACAAAGGTCTATGTCTGAAAGTTGTTTGTTTTTACTGTAAGTTTTCTAAGTTTAAACTGTAAATTTGTCACCAAAAGTCATATTGAGTTGTCCTGTCCAAAGACGGAAAGATGGAAACTATTGATTATTTAATTTGGCTCCCAAAATAACATTCTCTCTGTAGGTCTTGAAACATTTCAGATAAAGGTCACTATTTTATAAATGGGACAATCAAAAATAGACTTTCAAGGTTAGATTTTTTTTTTTTACTTAAAAAGTATACAAGACTAATTTGGGAAGAAGAATATAATGTCATACGCCTACCTGTGTTGAGTATAGTATGAGAGTCTAATTTGTCATGTATGTGTGTGTGTGTGCGTGCATGTATGTTTTGATTCTTGAGTTACCAAATATTAATGAAAAGATTGATAAACCTGAAATCAGCTACTGAACATGATGGAAAATGGCTTATCAAACAATATCTTAAAAATTTTAAAATGCAAAAAGATTTCTGTGAGTGTGAGATTTAGGGGTAAGTGATGCAAAATTTCATTAGCTCAGTATAAAAACAATAGAAGTCAATAGAAAGCCCCCACGATAGAAAACCAAAGTCTCTCTCTCTCTCTCTCTCTCTCTCTCTCTCTCTGTGTGTGTGTGTGTTTATGAGAAGCAGTGAAAGAATGAGTGCCACCTTTGACTTGCTCCTCATCCAGCCTCAGATCACTCACTGTCAAGATTTTCAAATTCAAGTTATCTATAGATATTTCAGAAACTCATTTGGAGATGATTTTCTCCCTCTCCACACCCGCTGGCTCCGGCACCAGTCATATACACCTCTCCCGTAGGCGGCCGTAAGCCCGATCCTGAGCTGTACTATTTGATTTAATTTGAAGGGCCATCTGTAATCCCCCCCGGTACTCACTGAATCCCTGGGTCCGTCTGCTCTGCTGTGCTGCGAGTGTTTGCCCGTTATTGTGCTTGCTGCAGTGCAGGGCTTCTTTGTCATTTAGAGCTCACAATGCTGAAAAACCAGCAGCACTCGGAGCAAGTTTGAAAGAGTTTTCAGCTGCTGTTTATCTGCAGGACTCATTCAAATATCACGTCACGTCATGAATAGCTTAATTCATTATATGATATCGCACAACAACATGTATTACACATGCACAGAAGTGTATGAATCAGCGATTTAATTGGAAAATATAAATTTTTTTATTTTTATTATTATATTTGGATATTTTGACTTTTAGTCCAGTAATGATTCTCTGGTTTGGTTTCAGGACCAAGTTTTGATATTTGACACCAAGTGGCAACCCAACATGGTATTGAAAATGTAATTTATTTAATTTACTATCATAAATGCACAATTACACTATCATTTAAAAGTTTGAAGACAGTAAGATTTTTTTTAAAGAAATGAATACTTTAATTCAATGATGATACATTAAAATGGATCAAAAAGTGACAGTAAGACATTTATAATGTCACAAAATAACAATTTTTACTATTTATAGTTATTTTGTGACATTTATAATGTCACAAAATAACTATTTTTACTATTTATACTATTTTAAATAACTATTATTCATTCAAAGAATCCTGAAAAAAAGTATCACAGCTTCTATAATAAATGTTTCTAAAGCACCAAATCAGCATGTAAGAATGATTTCTGAAGGATCATGTGATACTGACTGAAGACTGAAGTAATCGCTGCTAAAATTTCAGCTCTGCCACCACGAAAAATAAAATACATTTCAAAATCTATTAAAATAGAAATCGTGTATTTTAAATTGTAATATTTCAAAATATTACAGGTCTTACTGTATTTTTTATTAAATAAATATAGCCTTATTATGTCAAAAACAAAATCTTACTGACCCCAAACTTTTAAACCGTGTATATCTTTGCATTTTATTATTTGCATTTACCATTGTTCTTTTTTCCTGCTACCCATGCCATGACTCTTAGAACAAGTTACAACTCACCTGTTGAGAACCACTGTTTAAATTAAATATTAATTTGTTTTATGTTGTTTTATTACATCAGTGTGTCTGTTAGATCCCTCTAGTGGCTGATGCTAGTATTGCTTCCATTCTTCTCTTGTGGTTTTCAATCTGAGGGTGCAGTGCGGGGTCGAGCAGAGAAGTCAGTGCTCTCTCAGGGTGAACAGCCGGATCTGTGAACACCGGGCAGAGATAAGCACCTGGAGAGCTTTTATATTTTCTTTTTAAAGTGTCCAGTCAAGAGGAGAGCAATTCGGCAGCACAGAGGCCCTAAATTCTCTCCTCTCTTCCTCTGCCGTCCTTTTTGCTCTGAACTAAATACGTTTAGAGTACTAGAGTGATACACCCACAGCCAATCAAATGAGCTGTAAATACCATGCGACTAATGATGTTAATGGATTCAAACAAAAAGGAATACATTAAAGAAGTAATGCTAATTGAAGAGTTGATAAACTGAAGAGGATGAAATCTTCATCCTAAGTCTTTGTCGGTGTGGATGGTAAGGGTAATAACCCTTTTCTGTGCAGAGGCAGTGAGTCAGCAGTAATTACGAGTGCTGCTTTGACTCCCCTGACCCTTAAGTTCGTGTCTGGCGTCTATAAATAACAACAGTGATGGGTCAGCAGCATCACCCACATGAGCACCATCACAGCATAGCAAATGAGATCCCATGAGCTGCGTGTAGTGTACATTTAATGATACAGAATCTGCAACCATAAGTTTGTCTCTGTGTGTGCGTTTGTGCATGTGTATGCATCACACATGTGACCCCAGAAAGGGCTGAATGTGTTAATACGTGTTTGAATTTGTAATTCATAGAGTGTAAATTGGTTGGGCCATAAGTGTCAGTGTCAGGGTTATAACAGAGAACTGCTGTCTGCACCTTAACTCCTTCTCTGATTGATCCACACACAGAGAGCCTGATAAAAGGATCGAGCCTGGCCGGGCTGGACCTCAGGATCTGCTGCAAAAGCAGTTGAGGTGTCAAGTGGGCTGGAGAAAGGGGGCTTGATAACTTATGGGCGCCCTCACCGTTTCCTGCCTACTTGTTAGTTGTGTTCTGGGTTTTCTGTTGGATGAGTGATTAGAGTCAGGGTTTTCAACCTTGGTTTGTAACCTTTTTTATGTTCCAAAATTTTTACAATCTCACACCCCCGCCTCACCCACATAACAGCATGAAGCTGGTTTGGATCTCACAGACAGCAAATTATGTTGTATTAAGTTCATAAGAGTAACAACACATCTTAGCTTAGTCAATATTATTTTTATATGTATAAGAAATGTGTCTGTGTGTGTGTGATAAATATAAATGATTGTGTTTAATTTTTTATACACATCATAATAAAGAAATTATGTATTTTGTAATTTATTTATATATCATTTTTTATTAAAAAATAAGATGACTTTTGTTTTATTCCTTTTTATTTATTTAAATTATTTTATTGTTTTTATTAATATTTATTATAATTAATTATAGTTTATTATAATTCATATTTTACACACACAATATGATAAATAGAAATGAAACGATTTTATTAATTAATTTATGTATGTATTTATTTGATTTAAATATAAAATGTTATATGTTTCTTAATTGAATATTTATGTTTGTTATATAATAAATTATTAAAATAAATCATAATTTCATTTTTATCTTATAATATATATTTATAATTGTATGTATTTTGTTATTTATTAATACAACATTTATTAATTTATTTTTGTTTGTTTTAAATATAAAATGTTACAAAATGTTTCTTTTATTTAGTATAGAATATTTTATACACATCATAATAAAGAAATGATGTACTTTGTCATTTATTAATATATAATTTTTTATAAAAAAAGATGACTTGTTTTATTCCTTTTTATTTATTTCAATTATTTTATTGTTTTTAAATATTTATTATAATTAATTAGTTTATTATAATTAATATTTTATACACACAATATGATAAATATAAATTAAACGATTTTATTTATTTATGTATGTATTTATTTATTTGATTTAAATATAAAATGTTATATATGTTTCTTAATTGAATATTTATGTTTGTTATATAATAAATTAATAAAATAAATTAAATTTTTTCAATTTTATAATATAATTGTATGCATTTTATTATTTATTAATAAAGCATTTATTTAATATTTATAAAATATGTATATATTATATA